TGAATAGTCTGTAATGTTGTGGGTGCGGAAAAATAGGCAATATAAAAATTACTTTGAAAGAAAAATAAAAAATTAAGATATGCTAAAACAGCTAAAAGAATTCAACAAAGAAATCAACTTGAGTATATATCCAAGACCAAGATGGAAGACAAAAAGTTTCTCCTGTTTGCAATAATGTATTAATTTCTGATGAGTACTTTCTTTAAAAATTGACAGTTTTCGTCTATGAAAAAGTTAGGTTGTCCTAAGACTATATCGTTTATATTTGTCTCCACCAAATATGAACATTTATAAGAAAAAGTTTAATAATCAGACTGATATACGCTCATACATTTTTTTTTTGTTTAAAATAAAAACTTCTGATTAAATAAACAGACAATAATATTGTGGTAGAGAGTAAAATACATAATTCAAGACTTAAGCAAACAGCAATGTTTGACATCTGGTGAGAAGATAACGGTTTAAGGATAAGATCACTCAGAGGACAATGTTTGTACGACAAATATTATGTTAATATTTAACATTATAAAAATACAAATCAACAGATATAGCAGCTCCAATGAAGTGTTTTTTATGGAAATATTCCCCCTCTCAACTTTCTTGATCAATGTTAATAAATATTTTGGACATAAGCTGAGAAAATATTTCATTACTACAGGAGAAAAGAAAAAAAAATTTGGTTGAGTTTCAAGTGTACAAGGAAAAAAAATTCCAATAAAATGGAAATAAGTACACAATTTTGTTGTAGAATGCAGTGTTTTATATAAGTTTTTCCATGATATATACAGATTTTGTCAGAACAAAGCTTAATATATGCAGAAAAGGGGTTTTGAAAATGTCAATTGCTGTAGGTAATCTGTAGATGGAACAAAGCCTAAAACCTTAAGAGAACCTAAACACACACACAAACATTAAGGAAGCTATTTATGAAATTTGAACTGACTTTAGTCCAGCCTATTTTAATGTATATGGTAGTATTCAGTTAATAACCTTTTATGGACGATTACTTAAAAATAATGGACTAGTATCTTTTTTTTTTCATTTAATATTTGGGTCCTTACAAGTTATCTTTTTTGAGGATCAAGCATGCAGAATAATTGTCCATAGCATTGTTTTCCTGAGCACTTTTGGTAAAGTGTATGGTAGACTTTTCCATTGAGTCTTTGTTTTTAGCTCAAAATCTTGAACAAGATCTTCTAGCCTTGATGTTACAATATAAACAATGTTATTGGATATGGTCCTAAAGATGTACTATGTAAGAAGAAATATGCAAATCTGAGTATAATGTGCTATCCTGTTGTTGTTGGCTTTATCTTGTATCCAAGAATTTAATTTCTTCTTTTTTGATTGCTTCCTCTGTGATGATATCATTGATGACTAAACAGACCAATTCTTGCATGGAAGTGCTGATGACTGCATAGTATTGTTGGTGGATTTTGTCAAGCATTTCTCTCGTCTGTGACTTCTTTCTTTTCTCTTCTGGTGGCTTCAAAGTTTTTGGTTCTGATAGTGATGGAACTTGATCTTGAGTTTCAAATGATTTAGGTTCAAGTCCAGTGGCTTCAGTGTTGTTTTTGAGTTGGTCCTTTGTACTTGTATTTTTGAAGAGGGTAACCTTGTGGTCTTTTCCCTGAATGAGCTGATTCTTCCATTCTTTCTACATGTCCTGACCATCAAAGATGGTGTTTAATGATTAGCGATTCGATGCTTTGACTGTTGGTCACATAGTAATTCCATTTGATGGTCAAGATTGAACAAAACTTTTGCTGGTGAAAGCATTCTTTTGGATTTTTGGATGTTGTGACAATATAGAGTCCAGGTTTTGCAACCATACAACAAAATTTAAATGACAACAGCATTATAGACAATTTTTGGTGTTAAGTTCAGATCTTTGTTGTTAAAGAAGTGTTTGATTACCTTTCCTGTGTGAAGCTCCAATTATGTGTTCTACATCTTTTTCTGGGGTACACTTGTTTGATAAAAGGCTGCCTAAATATGGAAAATGCACTACTTGTTCTAGAGATATATCACAGATGGTAATATCAAAAACTGGCAAGACACTATTTGAAGCTGGCTGTGAACTCCAACAGTCTGTGAACCATATATATATATATATATATATATATATAAAATTTCTGGGAGAAAGCCATAATGAACAATACACTTTAGTTTGCTGAAGTGCTATCAGTATAAATATTACAACTAATAACACAATGCTAATAATATTGATGTTTAGTTTTTCTTATCAAGTCGAACAAAATATTACATTCTACATGACATCAGGACATTGGTATACTTACAAAAGTCTGAATAAATTCAAGTAATTACATAATGTGACCTTTAGTAGTCATAAGCTCTTTTACAAATCAAACAGACTTGGAACTAAGAATTTGAATCAATGTTTCATGATTATAAGATTTTCCTGTAATTTTTTTTAAATGCCCAAGAAGAAAATAAAAACAACATTTCTGGACTAATTTGAAATGCATTAAATAAAAAAAGAAAAAAAGATAAATAAAATTTCTGTTAATGCTGCCAAATTAGTTATGGATAAAGAACTTCTTGACAAAGTCTCTAAGACTAAAAATAGACAAATAACAATGATATAGAAGACAACCTTACTTATTTCATAGAGAAAAACTGTATTTTTAAAGAAAGTACCTATCAGAAACTAATACATTATTGCAAACAAAAGAAACTTAATTTTTGTCTTCCATCTTGGATAATAAACAAATCTTACAAGATGATTTCTTTTTGCTGAATTCTTTTAGTTGTTTTAACATAATATCTTGAATTTTTTTGGTATTTTTCTTTCAAAGTAATCTTTATATTCCCCACTTTTTATCCAAAAAGTCAGATCGATATTTTGTGACAGTGTCTCTGGTTTTGCAATCTTGAGGTATTTACTAAGGTGGGAAGCAATGCTTTGATTGCTAATTAATAAGTAACTAAGTACTGTTGATGCATTTGGAATATGGAAAAGGAGAGAAAAAAATGTATTGTAACCAAGTATTGTATAATAAAACCTTGAAGCTTAATGAGAGATATTTTTGACTGAGAACATTTATGCAAAGAGATCAAAATGTTGGTATGATGAGAAAGGACAAATATGGATGGACACAATACATTTGAGATATAGCAATAAAGTAACAGAAGTAACTTATTTTTCAGGGATGTGGTCACTAAAAATTAGATACTGATAGAAGTGTTCATCTTTCAAGCTAGAGAAAGGAAAGGTGACTGACAGGCAAATGGTATGGACTAAGAAGAATTGAAAAGTAGAACAGAAAGAGTCATAAATTTCCTTTGGGTGGATGGAGGTGGGGTTCTCGTATGCACCTCAGTATTCATACCTACATCAAACAAATATGAATTAACTCACTTGTAAGTAAGTTGAGAACTACCTCTATACTTGTTACAAAAACATGCTACCAGATTGTAATAATAAGCTTATAGAAACACACGTACAGAAAAATGTATAGCAATGACCTACTATTAGTAGACATGCTGAAAGTTATTTATAGTGTGAAACAATATGATAATGTTACTAAGAAATGTTTATAAAGTGAATGATTTTAATAGGTTATAAGATAAAATTGGACGTTAATATTTTAGCTGCATGCAGTAATGTCCCACGGAACGTCAAATGTTTGAATTTTGGAGAAACATCCATGATGAAACAAATTTTCTTTTTTTTTTTTATTTAGATATGCCCCTATAAATGGAACCATCTATGAAATTGAGTGGGACCAACAAAACATAAAACTTGCTTTTATCACAAAGGCTCAGTCATGATGTCAAATTTTATTATTCAAGTCAATATTTTCACAATAAAACTATTAACCAATTGATGCTGGTAATATTTTCAGAAAATATTTATGATAAATATACCATGTGAATTTCAGCTTATGTTTTATAAGCAATATGAAAATTAGATGGTATGTGATTTTATCATTTAACTTAAGGCACATTGGTTTTTAACATGTACCATTCAAAAAATGTCTTAAAATGAATAATCCATTAAGTTAAAGAATATATTCATGCAATATAATGTTCCTTCACATTCTGTAAAGTTAATGATTGATCACCTTACCAAAAAGGATTCAAAAGGTACCAAATTAATGAAATGATCACCAGTCTCTCAATATATTAATCCAATAGGAAACTTACAGTCCATCATTAAGACATATGAGAATGGAAAACAATAGCCAGGCAAGTAAAAACATCTTGGAATCAGTAAAATTCATCCAAATAATGTTAAAGTTGAAATGAGAGAAAAATTAACAAAAATGGTTGAGTTTGAAAAATGTTATAGGATGTTAGTATAATTATTATTATCATTATTATTATTATTATATTAGTGTTATAGGATGACAGTATAAGGAGTGTGAAACTAAAAAGAACTCATTAGAGATTGCAACAATTCATGTAATGTAATATTATGCCAAAAGATAACATGTGTAAAGTTATAAAAATTTGTGGACATTTTATGATGAACAGTTCATATTAATAAACTGCTAGAAGTACCTTAATTTGATTAAGAAATATCCCTGCTAGCATAGTTAGGCAGTTCTAGGGAGATAAAAAATTTAATTTAGAGGAACTGCTTGAAAAATATCTTGGAAGGCAGACAAGACAGCCATGTGTAGAGCCAGCGGTGACATTTGCATATTTAGTAAAGGCTTTTTTGATTGGTCAGTGAACAAATGAAGAGCAAGTGATTGGATGCTATTTTAAAACTGTTAAACAGAAAGAGTGTTACCTGAAATTTTTATAGCCAAATAATCAATGTTACAAGGATGTTCAGTCACATAACCAAGAAAGAGAAAAGAAGAAAAAAGAAAAAAGAAACAGAGAGAGGAGAAAGAAAATGCTTATATTGGAACTGAATTAATTTTCTTAAATATATCTGAAATGAGATGAATAATTTCTAAATGTTTTCTCTGAGTATCAAAAGAGAAATGATTTCAAATCTTAGAAAATGTTTGAACAGTACTTACATTTCCATAGATTGGTCAGTTCAACCTGACCCCTCAGTCTTTGTTAGTATGGCCTCCTGAAAATAGAAATTGAAGTTTGAACTTACTAATAAAGGTCTACATAGTCACTATAGGAATTTGAGAGATCGTAAACAAATGTATGAAAAACGTAGAAAAGTAAAGCAGAAGCTTAGTTCACAAACAGTTTTGTTTTTGTCACTTCATATTGTGAACAAAGTTTTTTAAAGAATGACAATTCTCTATTCAAAGTTATAAATACCACAAGAAGAGATGGAAATTAAAAATAATCGTCTACTTTGCAAAAGTATTTAAAAACAATAAAAATATAACAAAAATGATAAAAATTTTGGGAAAAAGAAATTGTAAAAAAATATAAATTAAAAAAATAAATCAAAATTTAAATAAGAATGATTATTACACAGTCTAATTCAACGTGTTTTTACTGTTAGTAGTCAAGTGTTTCTAAAACTGCCAGGTAAAATCTTTAAATTGAAAATATAAAATTTGCCATTTACGGCATTTATAAAAAACGTAAATGTAGAATTTAAAACTCATGGTTAGAGATTTAAAAAACAAAACAAAAGTGTTTTTCTTTAAGTGATCAGTAAATTTACTCAATAAATAATAAAAAAAAAAATGAATCCAACCCTTCGAAACCATATTTCCTGCAAACCAATTTCACATTTGGTTTGTCTGAATGGCAACTTTTCTGGCATTATAATTTTTGATGGGGAATATTTTTTATTAATATTTTATTTTTACTTGAAAGTTTCTGATACTGTTTTTTTTTGTTTCTTTTTTTTTATCGTCATACTTTTAAACGGCATTTTACATTTTTTCCTTTCTTTTTTTATGATGGCAAAATAATGAAATTTTTAAACGCCTTTAAGAAAAAATACGTGATTAAACTCAAAAGTTTTCGTTTGTTAATAAGGATGGTCAGATAAAAAAAAATCAAACTGAAATAGAAATCAGCAAAAAAAAAAAAAAAAATGTTAGTGAAAGAAAGCACATATCTTAAAAAAAAATTATTTTCATAATTTAGAACATGTTTTACTTTTTACATTTTTGTTTTATTTTTTAACGAAATTTAAACTGTCAAAAATCCGTGTAAAGCTTTACACTGTAAAGCTGTTTACCAGTGCATGATAAAAAAAAAAAAAAAAAAAGAAAAAAAGTGACATTATTTTCAGTTTTATCTAAAAATATACTTTTTTTGCTCCTAAGTTTTTTTTTTTCACTTGCAATAGCAGGTTATTAAATATTTCACGATATGTATTCAATTCATGATAGGAGTCATTTTTACTTTTGGTTGAAAAAGTTTTCAAATTATTTTTTGCAAATTAATGCGTGTCGAGTTTTTTCTATTCTTCCTTTTAGAGTTTGTTTTCTAAGTGAAATATTTTTTTACTGAGTACTAAAAAACTGAGTAAAATTAAATATTCCAAAACAGCTATATAACAAGTGTAAAAAGTAAAAACCTCATTCAAAACAATGACCGATATACGTTTGAAAATCCAATATTAAGCACGTGTATGTCAGTAAGACACTTCGAAGCAGCTGCCGGTCCAAACAATTTTTTTATGATTTATTTTTAAAAGGACAGCTTTGGGGACCTCGATAGCTGAAAAATTGTTCTATGCTTATATTGTGTAGGTAGACAGATTTCAAATATGCAGAAGGTACATTTCCATAAAAGCATACATAAAATTAGCACACTGCAATGCGTACGTGCTTGTTAATTGTGTGTGTGTGTGTATATATGAATTCATGCAAGAAGCGTGTTATTGTTGTTAATGTTGTGTGTATAGCATCTGTTGTTAAGGGCGCGCACTTCAGCTTTTTGTCTCATGAACATTAGCGGGAATAAGTTGTATCGGTCTCTTACTCTTGTTCGAGAAGTTGAGATAAATAATAAAAAGTACTTTGATGAGTTGTGTTTTTTGAACATTAATAAACTTTTTAAATTGTCAGGAATTTCTTGTAATTTTGATTTTTCCACGGAAAAAAATCTTTAAAATTTAAGGAAATTTGCCATTTAAAATTAAATAGAAAAAACAAAAAAAAACAAAAAAAAAAAAAAACGAAACTTACACAAAAGTTATCTACGTCATGAGAAATGACAAACGTCAATTCTGCACCAAAGAGAAGAGTGTGTGCATTTGACAATTTTTACAACCAACAATTCAGGACAACTATGAGATCGCCAAAACTTAGTAAATACAAGAAAATTAGAAAACATTGATGGTTTTTAGAAACAAGAAAAACAACAAAAGAAACGTTAAAAAAAAAAGAAAAAAAAAAAAAAGAATTTTTTTGTAACTTTGTTTCAACTAACAAATTCAAATTTTTTTTTCTACTCAATCTCTTGGGTTCGTTAGCTCATCTAGTAAAGATGTAATTTCAAAATGTTTTGCTGGCTGGTCAGGTTTTTAAAGTCTCAAATAAAAGGTAGGTATTTGGACCGTAAGTTATTGTTCGTTCATCATGTCATGCAAAAAATTATCTTTTTTTATTTTATTTATGTAATTAGGTGATATTCCATACTAAAAAAAGTGAAAATAACACGCAAGCATTAAGCAAATTCTCTTAAGTTAAAAAATGTTCTCATTCAAGGTATTTCTCTTGCAGTTTGTATTCCTTCTCCATACGCAAAAATGAAATAAAAATAAAAACTTTTTTATCATTGAATTTGGCGTGACTCCCAAAAACGTCAAGTACCCTCCGGGCCATCTTCAAGTGTATTCCCCACCCCCGATATCTATATGTATTGTTGTTATTTTGTCCCTAGTATAAGGTTTCTTGTTCGTTCCTGCTGAACCAATGCATGTGGAGTTAGTTCATTATCTGATCCAGAGATCGAACTTACGACCACTAGATGATTTGATTAACCAAAGATCCAAACCAAAACGCTTTATGCCACCATGCAGGAGGACAATGTCAGTGGTGTTTTTTTTTTTTTTTTTTTAGAAAAGCGGTACGAACTTGTAACAATCAAACATCTGACATTAAATTCTAAAGGCTCTCTCGGAACGTTGGTGCACTATATATCGACGTTGGTTAATCAAGTGTCCCCCCATCATCTAGTGGTCGTGAGTACAATCCCTAGAGAAATCCATATTAAGCAGGGGAAAAAAACTAACGCAATAATCAACGCAACACATCTATCAGCCAACAAAATAAATTTACACCTGAAGAAGAGTGAAGAAGACTAAGAGAAGAGGGTACTTAATTGGACGAAACATTGTATAACAATCCTAGCATGATAATGCTCATCTGAAAAATTAAACAAATTTAGTTGTTTGTCCTGTTTACGATGCAATGTTTTTACTTTGAATTTATTTAATTATATCTTTCTTTGCGATTTTTTGGTAAATAGCAACCAATGTTTTATGTGACTGAATGAATACATAGCAACTCCTGATGTTATCGAAAAACGTCATTGTATCAGCTTGAATTTTTATCAAACGTGTAAACAGGACAAGCAAAAAAACAAAACAAAACAACAATACACAGCTTCGAGTCTTAATAATACTGTTAGTCTTGTGAATAAAAAAAAACAAAAACAAAAAACAAACAAACTTGCAGTTGTCGATAGAGTATCATCACTCGGTTACTTATGTAGTTGTATAATAATCGTGTTTTTACCTGTACATGCGTGTCAGAAATTTACTGTCCACGTAACTGTTTTGTTGGGCATAACAAAAGTAACTTATTTCGTTAAAGAGATCAGCCAGGTAAAATCCAATTTTCTTGGTGTCGGTATGAATAAATTTCCAATCCTATTAACGGAAACTAAAAGAAAACTCGAGTCAACAATTATCGTCCAATGTAAAAAAAAAAAAAAACCTTTCCTTTCTGACTAGCAAACAAATTGTGAGCGTCTATGACAAGTACACACCCTTTTCTTTTGCTTTCCTTATGAATGACCTTGTGCTTATTTTACTCTGTTTTTTCTTCTTTTCCCGCCTACCTTTTTTTTCAAATAAAGTCTCTGGTGAAAACTACCATAGGTGAGTAGTGAGCGAGGCGGGGGGGGGGGTCTATGAAAAGAAAAATCTCCCCCCCCACACCTTCTCAGTCCTGTCAGAAGAGATTAAAACTTGCATACCTTTAGCTTTATTCAGTAAGTAGAGGTCTTTTCACTTTTGTCAGGCCTACCAGTGAGAAAAAAAAAAAAGAAAGAAAGAAAAACTAAAAAAAAAAAAAAAAGCCAAGTTCAGGATTGGTTGGGGTGGAGGGAGCTTAAGATCCTAAAAAGAGAGGAAGTAGATAATAGAAGGGTTAGCTTTTTTTTCTCCCTGTCCCGAGTATTAGCCAAAAAAACTATAAGTGATTTCTTAATTATCTTCTCACACTTAATACCAGTTTCTGGATAAGTACACGATATCTCCAATTAGCTATTCCAGACAGACAGACAGACACACACACACACGTACAGTACAGGCACAAGAGCTTAGGTAGAGCACAAATGATTTAAGAAAATTACACTAATTTTTTTTTCAGTCTTTATAACACCTAATACACCTTAATCCTTTCCTCGGGAGAGAAAACGAAAGAACTACAGACAGCCTCTTTTTTTTAATTTTTTTTTTTTTTTTATAATAAGAATTATTATCATCAAAATTGAGTTTTTAAAAGAATGCGTGACAATCAGTTTCTATGACAAAATGGCAGATTTGTCAAATATTACTGTCATTTTTAAGTAGAATGTGATGGAACTTAACTGTCCGAATATTGTCCTCCCAACTTTTTGCTTGGAAATGGACAAAAGCAGAAATGTAGCTTTTATCAATGAAGCAAGAATTTCTATTTAGAATAGAATATTTTGAATTTTAAAGTCCCAAATCCTCCTTTAGGTTAATGCTGTCATGCTAACTTATTTTAACCAATGACAATTCATCCTTTATTTTTTTTAAATTATTATCTGATTTTATTCAGTTTCTTCAGATTTTTCTTACTTTTGTGAATTTTATTTATTTACTATGGCTAGTGTTTCAACACCTAG